GAACCAATCGGAGCCGCCGTCCACGGCAATGCCCTCTGGGATCCGCCGGTCCCCCAGGCGCCACATGTGGGCGTCACACTCCAGGAAGAGCCGGTCCAGGCCCTGTTTCCGGATGAACCTGAAAGACACAAAGAAGTGATTAGCCCAAAGGTGCCTCCACCCGGTGTCCAAATGAGATGGCACAATCCCAGCGATCAAAGCATTTATGGAGCACTGACTGTATGCCAGGCACCAAGCCAGGGCTCTGTGTATACGCTGTCCCTTGGTTTTCAAGGAGAGGCAGGTCACTCTACCCCTCTGAGGCGGGTACTATTATTACACCCATTTTGCAGATGAGGACACTGAAACTCAGAGAGTTTAGGGCACTTGCGGAGCACAATTAGATAGCAATGATCATCCAGCACATCTACTTCCTCTTTAGAGAACTCTGAAATCATCTTTTCATGCCATGGATGCCTTGGTAACTTAATGAACACAGCCTGTGGACACTCATCCTAGAATAATGTTCTTAAATCATAACACACAGAATTACAAAGTACTTAAAAAACAGAAAGTTTATGATATAGTAATTCTGGTGCTTTTTGATTCACACATTAAATACAGGATTACAAAGTATTTCTTAAAACATCGAATTTATGATAATTACATGTGGTGTGTTTCTTTCTCGACACACAAGACCTTGTGGCAGGTCTAATAACTATTGTAAACGTGAGGAAGTGGTGAGGGTAAATGACACTTAGACGTAGACTCATCAGCTACTATGTGATATGAAAATATGTGACTCTTAACAGTTACTGCTCACACTACTGTGGTTTGGTCTCTATATTTAGGTAGATTTCAGTGAAAATAAACAATGTTTTCTTCCCATTCAACGTCATGGGCCCTCTGAACTCCATCTATGAACCTCAGATGGACAACTGCTTGAAAGTATAAAACAAATATTTGGGATTTAGCAAGGCAGGCTGGCAGCTCTCGCACTTCCTGTTTTGTAAATGCAGAAAGCAATGGTCGAAGGGCTGGTAATACAGGTGTGTGGGGACACTGGACAGAGCAAGAGCCCAGCCTCTGGCCCAAACGCTGTGCATTTACGGTGAGCATTAACTGCACACTTACTATGTGCCAGGCACGGTGCTGGCCCTGTGCAGGGCAAGGAGGAGTAAGGATGATCCCTGCTCCTCAGGGGCTAGTTACCCAGTTGGGAGCTTAGTCGAGAGGCCTCCCCATTCAGGGATCCCGTGCTCCTCCAGCTCTACAACATAAAGTCACCCGCTTAAAGTGTACAGTTCAGTGGCATGGAGTTCATTCACAGTGTTGTGCAACCATCACCTGTATCTAGTTTCACAATATTTCATCACTCCAAAGGAGACCCTATGCCCATAAGCAGACCCCATGCCCCGTACCCCTTAGCCCTTGGCATCCACCAAACTGTTTTCTGTCTCTATGAATTACCCATTTTGGATATTTCATATAGAAGGAATCCTATAATATGTTGGTCTTTTTGATAAATATGCTTTTATTGATCTCAGAACGAGAGGAAGGGAAAGGGAGAGAGAGAAACATCAATTGGTTGCCTCCCACACGCACTCCGACCAGGGACCAAACCCACAACTTGGGCATGTGCCCTGACCGGGAATCAAACCAGTGACCTTTAGGTGCATGGGAGGATGCTCAACCAACTGAGTCACACCAGCCAGGGCTGTTGGTCTTCTTGTTTGGCTTCTTCCATTTACCATAATGTTTTCAAGGTTCATTCACACTGTAGCACATACTGGTGCTGCATTCCTTGTTTCTGTCTATCCAGCATCCTCAGTTTTCTGGGAACCACATCTCCACTTCACTTTGGACAGTCCCTAATCTTCAACTTGTGTTTGCACCTAACCCTAACACCAGGGGTTGAACATAACCCAGGCTGGTCAGTTCCATCTGCTTGGCTGCCATCTTGGTTCAGGAATGGGTGAGAGATTCAAGCTGGTTTTGAGATTGGGTCCTGGAGTTTTTGCTTAATTTACCAGGATGGAAGAGCCTTCTATGGGATTCTTAGCTGAGAGACTGCAAGCCTAGAGCTGGCTGGCAGCCTCTTATCGCCATGAGTATAGAGGCTGCCTGACAGTGGAGGTAACACAGAAAGAAGTGAGAGGGAGGTCGTATTACATGGGAGCCCAGGGAAAGCTGCCAGCTTTCTGAGGATACACAGAGACACATGAAGGACAGCAGCCAACCAGAAGGCCCAGGTATCCAGCATCTCTGGTCTTGTTCTTTCTCTAACACATCTTTCCACGTGCCAAGTCCATGTTTGGCCTCACATGGACGAAAGATTAGGGATCTCTTTGGGGGATGTGACCTGGTGGAGGTTTTTCATTATACTCGCCATATCACACAAAACTTGGATTTAACCAGTTCATTAAAAGGAGCCCCGAGTTTAGGAAAATAAAATCCTATCTTGACTCTGGTTGATGCTAACTTATACAATAATATACAGTTGGTGCATCTAACCATGCATAACACTTTAAATTTTATATAATTTATATCAAAAACTTACATGGTAACCAAGACTAACCCAGAGAGAGAAATAAAAGGTATCCAGGTGCGAGGACTTGCAAAATTTTTCTTTCCATGGACCAGCGTTTTAATTTTATGTTCCATTATATGGGATAATAGCATCGCCTTGCAATTTTAATGTGATGTCCCAGACCATAATATCCAAATACAATATTTATGCAGTAATCTCCAAAATGAAATATTCATGGGGTTGGGAGATTGGCTGCTGTATTTACTGCATTCCCAAACTGATAAGCTGCAAACACATGCTTTGGTTAATTATGAGTAAAAATAGAGACAACTGTTCCTGAGGTTTCAGAAAAAGTTCCTGGGTTGAGAGGCGCAACTGGAACCTGGGTCTGGGCTGGGAGAAGGTGGCAGAGAAGGTGTCAGAGACCCAGGGTCTGGGTATCTAGCAGGTGAAAGGAATCAGCTGCTTAGGATGTGACTTGCTGTGTTTCCTGCCCTGTGCATTAACCATAGCTTGGAAAGGTCAAGGTTGGAAATCAAGGTAAGTCAGTAAACTCCTGGATGTGTCTTTTCCTAGATGCAGGCTCACCAGTAAGCATGGTTCTCAAGGAGGGCAGATCGATTTGCAGCAATGGGCCCAAGACACTGAAGGTGAC